CATGGTCACCTTCCCCAGCAGCCCCAGCACCACGACTACCCTCCACCACCTCGTGGTTACCCGCCGCAGGCTTTCCGGTACAACAGTTACCCTCCCTTGCCACGCTGGCATTATAATTACCCTTCCAAGGCGCTCCCACAACCTGGTTATGCTGTTCCAGAGCCCCGGCATCTCGGGTATGACACCCCGATGCCCCAACACTATTACGGTCCTGCAAAGCGTGACGATTACGATGCTGCAAACCCCCAGCGCCACAATTACGATGCTGCAATACCTCAGCGTCACCATTACAATGCCGCAAAGCCCCAGCACTACAATTACAATGCTCCAAAGCCCCAGCATCTTGGGTATGATGTGCCTGAGCCGGAGCATACCGATTACATTGCCCTAGATTCTAGGCTCCACAGTAATCTGCAAGAAGAGCACCAACCCCAAACTAATCCATACCCAGAGTCACCCCGGCAGCATGGCTACTTCTCTAAATTGCCACGCTACCCAACCAAACAACTCAGCTTCCCATCCAAGATGGCACACTATAAAGCCAAGCGACCAGGCTACCTACCTCAGAGGCCACGCTACCAGGCAAAGCAAAGTCAGCAGCCCCAGCAGTTCTTTCAAGTTTTATAAACAGCCAGTAAATGAGGGTACATAAAGAAAAAGAATTTTAAAGTTTACAGCACTTCATTTTTTCTTTCTTTCCCCCACTCAGATTGTTTTGGTATTGGCATTACACTTATGGATGAAATAAAAAATCATGCATCAGACCTCAACTCTTTGCTGTTTTTTCATTTTATCATGTTTAACATTGTCTATTTACAGGTTTAATTGTACAGTGTTACAATTTTCTACCTGTTTTGAAGTGATGAAAAAACTAATTTATACTTGGGTTGCTATAATTTCAACTGAAGTTTAGCTTGTGGTAAGGTTGGTTAAAAAAAACAAACAATTGAAACTGCTCTCTGTTGTCTGTCCCACTAAAAGACCAATATGGCATCAACTAAGACAGTTCATGTACTTCTCAGAACTTAAAATAACCAACAAAAGTGAGCATGGAATCAGGTCCAAGTCTTTTATAACATTGTGGCCAATCAACACCGAGAGGTCTACAGTCTGCACACTTCAACCTGCTTGGAACCCCAGCCGAGTAGGTGCTAAAATAACTAAGGAGGCACCAGCCCCTAATGGCAATGTGAAATTAAGTCAAGCCGAGCGCCAAGAAGGTACTTAAGGAAAATCCATCCATTCTCTTCCGCTTATCCGGGCCTAAGGAAAATCCCACTAGTGAAATCAGTGTGGGTCAAGAGAAGTGGTGCTAAGTTTATCTTTAAGAAGTCATTATGCTATGGCTGATTAGTTTATAATGTACTATGAACAGCCACTATTTCTTTTGGGACAAAAGTACATTGCTTTAATTTCATTTGAATTAAATGTCTTACAAAAGCCAGAATGACCAAATAGTATTGTAATATTCTTGTGTGACCTTTATTCGTCTCACTCATCTTAACTCTTTCTCTGAAGTTTTTATAAATAGCATCTTTAATCTTCCCTTGCTTATACAGTCAATAATGCTTATGTTTTGTGTCATGGTCCTTTGGAAAACAGGTGGTTTACAGAAAAGAAATAACTAATAAATCCATTTGAATGATATACTTTTTAAAATATATTTATCTGCTGTGTGAGTGGCTACTATGGACATTGGCCAATGGTAAATTGGCAAATGAACAAATAATTTAATGGTTTGAGAATCAATTTAACTGTAATAGTATAAAATGTTACATAAAAAAAAAAAAATCTATCAACTTCTTGATCAGTGACAACAACCTTCCACAAGACGACAAAATCTGTACTTAGTAAATGTTTGACATAGCGGTTGAAACTGATTGCACTGAACATCAAATAGTTCATCGGCAGAGCATTTGACTGCAGATCAAAAGGTCCCCCAGTCCTCCATAAAAATGTCTGCTAAATACATAAACATAAAGCTGATTCAGCATTGCCAAACAACGGCATTCTTCATTTAATGTTTAAATTTATTACATTAATGGCTCACTATTCAATTATTCATTTGAAATATATTTCCCTTCATTGTTATCCTAACATGGATTAATGTAGGTATCACACACAGTCTCATTCTTTTTTTCATTCAGTCAAGTTCTCCAACGGGAAAGTACCAACACTTACCTTTCACGCCTGACACCTGTGTCCAATTAAATGGGACAAGAAGGGAAAGTATAAAAAGGCCCAGTGTGCTTACAGACTTACTTACCTCTGACAAATTAAGTTCTTATTTCAATAATACCTGTCAAAATTGTTTGAGAGATATTGTTAAAGTCATGTGGTTTGTCCTCAGGTAATTCTTTTTTCTCTTGTCTTAATTTGGTTTTTAATGATCAATCTAATGTTTTGTCTTTCCCTCCTAGATTTATGCTGTTTTCCCTCTTAACTATTGGAAGGGACCAAGTAAATGGTAAGACTTGTCAAATAAGCTTTAAGCTCTTGCATGCATTGGCTAGTTTTCTTTCTTTTTAAATCAACAGCCTACTCTGCTGGGGCTCAGAAACATGAGGAGCACCCAAGTGTAAAGGAGCTGTATTTTTCCATGGAACCTGACCTTCCAATGGGGGGTAAAGTACATACTAACTACTTCCCCAAACCACCCAAGGATTCTGGATTCCCTATGCCAGTGGAACCAGTCTTTCCCATAGGAGGACCAGTGGGTTATGTCTACCAGCCCAGGTTGCCCCAGCATTATGGTTTCCCTATGCCAGTGGAACCTGGCTTTCCCATAGGAGGACCAGTGGGTTATGGCTACCAGCCCAAGTTGCCCCAGCATTATGAATTCCCTATGCCAGTGGAACCAGACTTTCCTATAGGAGGACCAGTTGGTTATGGCTACCAGCCCAAGTTGCCCCAGCATTATGGTTTCCCTATGCCAGTGGAACCTGACTTTCCCATCGGAGGACCAGTGGGTTATGACTACAAGCCAAATGTACCCCAGCATTCCCGACTTCCTATGCCAGAAGAGCCTCACTCTGCAGCAGGAGGTCCAGTGGGAAATGGCTATCCAAAGTATTCTGAATACCCATCACAATTTCAGCTGCAAGATTTAGCACGCCCCAGGTCTATACCAGAGTCATCTATGGAAACTGAAGACCAGTGGGGTCAAGTGGAACCTGATCGGGTACCTGAATCTCCACCACAACATGGCCATCAACCTAAACAGCCACAGTACAAGGCCCTGCAGCATGGTAGCCACTTCAAGTTACCCCACAAACCACAAAAGGCCAGAAAAAGTGTGTCCAAGAAGAAACGCAACTAATTAAAAGGGTTTGTCCTGTTGCCTATTTTTATTTTGCCATTAATGGTGCATTATAACCTGAATTTATTTCCCCTCCCTCAGGCACGACAGTCAAGACTTTCTCATTGTACTGGCCTAAATAAATTGAGTTATAAAATTTCTTTAAGTGTAAGACTGCTTAATTGCATAATACATGGAACACCTAACCATTTGGATGTTTCAAATGTGCAAGGGAACGGGGTAAATGATCAGAGTAAAGGCTACAACGTATTTCTGGGTGTGTTGAAGTGAGCACGAGGAACTTCTCCTTTGGTATTGTCCCTTTTTTGTAAACCGGCCAATCTATCTTTTTGGCTGACAATCCCTCTTTCACCCTTTGCTCTGTCAAACCGGCTTGTATTAAAAAAAAAAATATATCTTTTTTTATTCTTTCAAATGTACTGTGAAACTGGTGATTGTCCACCTGGCTATTTGGGTAGACTTAACCTAACCCATCCCTGGAAAGGTTTGTCTGATGTAAAGATTTGGAATAAAGCTGAAGTTGTGTCATCTTTTTAATTGTAAGATTTGAAGCGGTCTAACCCAATATTAATGCTCATCCGAGTGATGAGCTTCAACCACTGACTTCACAAGACCTTTTGAAATGAGTCATTATATTGCACGGGCAATATACCAATCATAAATGTAACTTTTAATGACTAATGTACTTTCACAGCACTTGATTTATTGTCCTACACAAATACAGGACTGTTTTCAAATTGTTCAACTGACATTAGGCATGTCACAGGATCTTAAGTTGAGCCTGACAAAATTTTGGGCCAATAAAAAGTAATACAAAATGTGGTACAATCATCAATTTGATGAGTTGTACTGTTCACATATGCGGTCATGTGGGTTGCTCTCACTTCATGAAGTTTGATGGCTCCTCATACATTTTATTCCTTACTTCCTCAAAGACTCCTAAAAAAATTTCCAAAATGGTAGATTAACGAAAAGTCTCTTAAAGGTAA